TTCCAGCAGTCAGTTTCCATCGTTCAGAAGTGTCCCTAAAATATAAAATTGCAAAGACTTTAAGTATATTTATCATCTACAGTACATAATATCATCAAAAGATTCCAAGAATCTGAAGGAATATCTGTGCAGAAAACACAAGGCCGAAACGCAATATTGGATAGCTGTGATCTTTGGGCCCTCAGAGGGCACTGCATTTAAAAAAGGCACGATTCTGTAATGAACATCACTGCATGGGCTCAGAATTCTTCCAAAAATCAATATTCTCTGAATACAGTTTGCCTCCCATCCACAAATGCCAGATAAAGCTCCATCATGCAAGGAGGAAGGCATATGTGAACATGATCCAGAAACATTGCATCTTCTCTGTGCCAGAGCTCATTTTAAAATGGTCTGATGCAAAGTGGAAAACTGTTCTGTGGTCAAATAGAAAATTAGACATTCTTTTTGGCACCCAGGAGCGCTGTGTCCTCCGGACTAAAGAAGAGAGGGACCTTCCTGCTTGTTATCAGCACTGAGTTTCAGACCCCGCATCTCTGATGGTATGGGTGTACTTTAGGGAATATGGAATGGACAGCTTGCACATCTGGAAAGGTCCCAACCTGCCCTGGCAGATTGATATAGAAGAAGCTGGGACTTTAATTTACTTGTCAAGAAGCATGGTGCTGCAAATCACTCTACATGCAACCACAAATCAATAGTCCCCTTTCTGCCCCCTGCTAAACAAATTGGGTTTGAGGATTTTTTTTTTTTTTTGCTGCAGAGTGTGGGATTACTACTCTGCTGTTCAGAAACTGTCAGTCCTCTCTCAAGAAAATGGTGCCGTCCCACAACTGCATGAAATGTACATAGTTATGCTGCTGTGGTGAGAGATTTTGGGGGTTGTTATGAGAAGGAGACATAACACCTCCCTGCTGTCTGTCAACTATGGTTCTGAGCTCACTGGAGATTTTCTCTCCCTCTTTCTCCCTCTCTTTTTTCCTCTCTCTTTCTTTCTCCCTATCTTTCTCTCTCCCTCTTTCTTTCTCCCTATCTTTCTCTCTCCCTCTTTCTTTCTCCCTATCTTTCTCTCTCCCTCTTTCTTTCTCCCTATCTTTCTCTCTCCCTCTTTCTTTTTCCCTATCTTTTTCTCTCTCCCTTTTTATTATCTCCCTATTCCTTCTTCCTTTTTCTCTTTTTTTATTTCTCTCTTTTCCCTCTATTTCTCCCTATCTTTTGTGCATTCCTCTCTCTGCAGTAGATGGGATCTCTCTGTAGTCTCTCTCTCTCTGTAGATGAGCTCTCTGTGTATTATCTCTCTGTAGATGAGCTCTCTCTGTATTCTCTCTCTCTGTAGATGAGCTCTCTGTGTATTCTCTCTGTAGTAGATGAGATCTCTGTGTATTCTCTCTCTCTCTGTAGTAGATGAGATCTCTGTGTATTCTCTCTCTCTCTGCAGTAGATGGGATCTCTCTGTATTCTCTCTCTCTCTGTAGATGAGCTCTCTGTGTATTATCTCTCTGTAGATGAGCTCTCTCTGTATTTCTCTCTCTCTGTAGATGAGCTCTCTGTGTATTCTCTCTGTAGTAGATGAGATCTCTGTGTATTCTCTCTCTCTCTGTGTATTCTCTCTCTCTCTGTAGTAGATGAGATCTCTGTGTTTTCTCTCTCTCTGTAGTAGATGAGATCTCTGTGTATTTCTCTCTCTCTGTAGTAAATTAGATCTCTGTGTATTCTCTCTCTCTGTAGTAAATTAGCTCTCTGTGTATTCTCTCTCTCTGTAGTAGATGATCTCTCTGTGTTCTCTCTCTCTCTCTGTAGTAAATTAGCTCTCTGTGTATTCTCTCTCTCTCTGTAGTAGATGAGATCTCTGTGTATATTCTCTCTCTGTAGTAAATTAGCTCTCTGTGTATTATCTCTCTCTGTAGTAGATGAGATCTCTCTGTATTCTCTCTCTCTGTAGTTTTTTTTGAGCTCTCTGTGTTTTTTTCTCTCTGTAGTAAATTAGCTCTCTGTGTATTCTCTCTCTCTCTGTAGCAGATGAGATCTCTGTGTTTTTCTCTCTCTCTGTAGTAGATGAGATCTCTGTGTATTCTCTCTCTGTAGTAAATTAGATCTCTGTGTATTCTCTCTCTGTAGTAAATTAGCTCTCTGTGTATTTCTCTCTCTGTAGTAGATGATCTCTCTGTTTTTCTCTCTCTCTCTCTGTAGTAAATTAGCTCTCTGTGTATTTTTCTCTCTGTAGTAGATGAGATCTCTGTGTATTCTCTCTCTGTAGTAAATTAGCTCTCTGTGTATTCTCTCTCTCTGTAGTAGATGATCTCTCTGTGTTCTCTCTCTCTCTCTGTAGTAAATTAGCTCTCTGTGTTTTTCTCTCTCTCTCTGTAGTAGATGAGATCTCTGTGTATTTTTTCTCTCTGTAGTAAATTAGCTCTCTGTGTTTTCTCTCTCTCTCTGTAGTAGATTAGATCTCTGTGTATTTCTCTCTCTGTAGTAAATTAGCTCTCTGTGTATTTCTCTCTCTCTGTAGTAGATGAGCTCTCTGTGTATTCTCTTGTTTTAGATGTTTTTTCTCTCTGTTTTTCTCTCTCTCTGTAGTAGATGAGCTCTCTGTGTATTCTCTCTGTAGTAAATTAGCTCTCTGTTTTTCTCTCTCTCTCTCTTTCTCTCTTTTTTTTTTTTCTTTTCTCTCTTTTGTATTCTCTTTCTGTAGTAGATGGGATCTCTCTTTTCTCTTTTGTTCTTTTTCTTTTTTTCTTGTAGAGATCTCTTTTTTTCTTTTTTTTCTCTCTATTCTCTCTGTTTAGATGAGCTCTGTGTTTTCTCTCTTCTGTAGTTTTTAGCTCTCTCTTTTATTCTCTCTCTCTGTTTTGATGAGCTCTCTGTGTTTTTCTCTCTGTAGTAGATGAGCTCTCTGTGTATTCTCTCTCTCTCTCTCTGTCTCTTGAGCTCTGTGTTTTCTCTCTGTTTTAGATGAGATCTCTCTTTGTAAATTTCTCTGTGTATTTCTCTTTCTCTCTGTAGATTTCTTTTTCTCTGTATTCTCTCTCTTTCTCTCTGTAGATGAGCTCTCTGTGTATTTTCTATCTGTAGTAGATGAGCTTTCTGTGTATTCTCTCTCTGTAGTAATAGCTTTCTGTGTATTCTCTCTCTCTCTAGTAGCAGATGTTCTGTGGATTCTCTCTCTGTAGTAGATGGGATCTCTCTGTATTCTCTCTCTTTTCTGTAGTAGATTTTTTCTATTTTTTCTCTCTCTCTCTGTCTTCTCTTTTTTTTCTCTCTGTAGTAGATGAGATCTCTCTGTATTCTCTCTCTCTGTAGTAGATGAGCTTCTCTCTGTTTTATCTCTCTTTTATTCTCTCTCTCTGTAGTAGATGAGATCTCTCTGTATTCTCTCTCTGTATTCTCTCTCTCTGTAGTAGATGAGATCTCTTGTATTCTCTCTCTGTATTCTCTCTCTCTTTTGTAGTTAGTAGATCTCTCTCTCTCTTTTTGTCTCTCTCTATTCTTCTCTCTCTGTGTAGATGAGATTTTCTCTCTGTATTTCTCTCTCTGTATTCTCTCTCTCTGTAGTTCTTTGAGATCTTTCTGTATTCTCTCTCTGTAGTAGATGAGATCTCTCTGTCTGTTCTCTCTCTCTCTCTCTGTAGTAGATGAGATCTCTCTGTATTCTCTTTTTCTCTCTGTAGTAGATTTTTCTCTGTATTCTCTCTCTCTCTCTTTTATTCTTTTCTCTTGTGTATCTCTCTCTGTGTATTATTCTCTCTCTCTGTAGTAGATGAGCTCTCTGTATTTCTCTCTCTCTCTCTCTTGTAGTTCTCTCTCTGTATTCTCTCTTCTATTCTCTTCTCTGTAGTAGATGAGCTCTCTGTATTCTCTCTCTCTCTGTAGTAGATGAGATCTCTCTGTTTCTCTCTCTGTATTCTCTCTCTCTGTGTAGATGAGCTCTCTGTATTCTCTCTCTGTCTTTCTCTCTCTCTCTGTGTATTTCTCTCTCTGTATTATTCTCTCTCTCTCTGTAGTAGATGAGCTCTCTGTATTTTCTCTCTCTCTGTAGTAGATGAGATTCTCTCTGTATTCTCTCTCTGTATTCTCTCTCTCTGTAGTAGATGAGCTCTCTGTATTCTCTTCTCTCTCTCTGTATTCTCTCTCTCTCTGTGTAGTAGATGAGCTCTCTGTATTCTCTCTCTCTCTCTCTCTCTAGTATTCTCTCTCTGTATTCTCTGTATTCTCTCTGTAGTAGATGAGCTCTCTGTATTCTCTCTCTCTGTAGTAGATGAGCTCTCTGTCTTTTCTCTCTCTGTATTTCTCTCTATTCTCTCTGTAGTAGATGAGATCTTATTCTCTGTATTCTCTCTCTCTCTCTGTAGTAGATGAGATCTCTCTGTATTTCTCTCTCTCTCTGTAGTGATGAGATCTCTCTGTATTCTCTCTCTCTCTCTCTGTAGTAGATGAGATCTCTCTGTATTCTCTCTTTCTCTGTATTTCTCTCTCTGTATTCTCTCTCTCTCTCTGTAGTAGATGAGCTCTCTGTATTCTCTCTCTCTCTCTGTATTCTCTCTCTGTATTCTCTCTCTGTAGTAGATGAGCTCTCTGTATTCTCTCTCTCTCTCTGTAGTAGATGAGCTCTCTGTATTCTCTCTCTCTCTCTGTAGTAGATGAGCTCTCTGTATTTCTCTCTCTCTCTCTGTAGTAGATGAGCTCTCTGTATTCTCTCTCTCTCTGTATTCTCTCTCTGTAGTAGATGAGCTCTCTGTATTCTCTCTTTCTCTGGGTCTTTGTAGTGCTGATGTCACGCCCTGACCACGCTTCTCTCTGTACAGGACACAGAGCCGAGCCCCGAACACTTCGATCTCCTCGCTCTTCCCTCCTCTGCTCCCGCTGTACAGGCCGCTCGGTGACTCTCGGGGTGGACTAGTCGTGCCTGTGTCGCAGGGCATTGTGGGCCTCCGCCTGTCTCTTCGCCGGTATTGTGGTGTGCAGAGTCTGCTCTCCTCTCCCCGTACACCGGAGCCGCACACATGGCGCTGCACGTCCCCAAGGCCCCGGGCTTCGCCCAAATGCTGAAGGAAGGAGCCAAGGTGAGAGGAGGGGGGTGAGGAAAAGAGAAGGAGGGCGGCGGCACGTGGAAGGTTCTAGAACACGAGGCCTCCATCCATACTGCGATGTCACATGGGGACACACAGCACCGGGCTATGGGAGAGCAGTGTACAGGGAGTGCCCCCGTGTATGGAGGGTCTGCTCATCTCACCGGCCTGAGGGTTACCATTCATTGCCATGGTTACATCATCCGGGGATCCTCGTCACCTGTACATGGATGGGAGGACACCACATGGGATGGATGGTGGGGAGGGGGTTGGGACTTCCACATTAAACCAAAACATTTTTTCTATTTTTGATAATAGAGGGTTAGAACCCCTGTCAGCTTTTTCTTTTTGCTATCTGTGTTCCATAGGGGAGAATTTCCTTCACTTTCCGTCCCATAGCCAAACGGGAAGTAAGAGGAAATCCCAGCAAAGTGAGGGAATCCCTGGTTGTCACCAGAATTGGTGTCCCCATTGGAAGATTCCCCTCTTCCTGTTCCAGTGACAACCCAAAGTTTGGGATTTTCTTTCACTTTTGATAACCGCATACAGGGGGCACAGGAAATGTGGGAAAAACCTGACAGGTTCCAATCTCTCCACACTCTACCCACAGCAAAAACAAAGGTTTTCAGTTATACTTTAGGAGAGATTGTACAATCAGATTGTATAGTGCAGGGGCCGCCAAACTGCAGCCCAGGGGCCACATGCATCCCTTTGCTTGTTTTTATCTGGGGTGTTGTTCCTCTCTCTGATACAAGACACTATTCTGCCCAGTGAGTCGGGCCCAGCTCCTGGCGCTGGCACCAGCTCGGTGGGGCCCACTTACTGACACCAACACCACAATCGGGCCCAGTTCCTCCTGCCGCTGGCACCACGGTTCAGTCTGAAGGACACTAAACTAGCCCTTTGTTTAGACAGTTTGGAGACCCCAGGTAGAGTGCATGGAAAGCTTTTAAGTATAATTTAACCCCTTCCCATCCAGCCCCAGCATCCATTTAACCAGGCGATTCTATCCAGGGGTCAAGAGGGTGTGTATGCTCACATGACCTCTGTGATTGGCTGTTAAGGACTGGGAGGGTGCAGTGAGCGCCCAGGAGTACCCAGGCCTGGCCTGTCAGTGTGAGGCCATGGTGGGCAGGTCAGACTGGTAGACACCGGGACTGTCACTCATGACACATCAAGTCTGAGAGTCCCAAGTTTGCCCACAGAACAGCATTGCTGTAAGGCTTGCCACCCTCTGAAAAGCAATTTGTTGTGGATCGCTTTTCAGAGGGCAGTAGACCAGCAACTGACAGGTGCTACTGATGCCTCCTGAACTCGTTTTTTTTTTTTTTTTTTTTTTTTTTTTTTTTTTTTTTTTAATTTTTAACCTCTTCCCAGCGCCCCCTTTAAAAGTCTGAACACTCAGGGGGCCAGGAGGATCGGCAATCATGGACCTACTGTGATTGGCTGTCACAAAAACGGAAGCCAGTTCCACCAGATACCGATATTTACTGGGGATTGAAAACTGTTTTCGTCAGCTCGGCCATTGTACTGGGACCGTGGAGTGAGTGCGCTCCCAGCACATAAACATTGCCCACCCAGCAACACGTGTGGGCATTAAAGCCCACCTCTTCACCACCGCCTATAGATAATACTGAGCCATAAAGGGGTTACATTGCTGAACCACAATACATTGCAGGACCGCGCTGCGGCTGTGAGCTGAGTGTTCGTCTCGCGGTTGTTGTGGTTCGGCCCCTTTGATGTGAATGGCAGAGTTTGGCAGGCAGTGCCACCTATCAGATTCTTCACTTCGAGTTACAAAGATGTTGCAGCTGCAAAGCATCACAGCCACAGCATGTGTACAGCCCTGTCCAGCTGTATTGTTACAGGTTAGGTGGGTGGACGAGGGTGAGAAAACGCTGCCCAGCCAGCTGTTTTTTACCTCCCCTTCGTGGCTACCCATCTGATAGAGCCTTTATATCACCACCCACTGAGCAATAAACTACAGAGGGGAAGTTAGCAGGCCAGGGCTTAGGGGGGGATTAGCAGGGATAGCGGTCTGTGGTATGTCTATGGCCTAATAACAGCACAGTGGCTAAATGGTTAGCACTTCCGTCTGGCAGTACTCGGGTCGCTGGTTCGAATCCCAACCCCGGGACCACCTGCCTGGGGTTTGCATGTTCTCCCTTTGCCTGCGTGGGTTTCCTCTGGGTCCTCTGGTTTCCTCCCACACTCCAAAGACATGCTGGTAGGTTAGTTGGCTCCTGTCTAATTTGGCCCTAGTATGTGTATGTATGAATGTAAGTTAGGGACCTTAGATTGTACACCCCTTGAGGGTTAGGGACTGATGTGAATGTTCAATATATATGTAAACTCTGCGTAAACTGATGGCACTATATAAGTACCTGAAATAGTAATAATAATGAACTGGGACTAAAGGGCACAGAGAGCCCTTCCTGTGGGTGACTCCAGCCTGGATATGTGTGCAGGAGGACAACTCCATATAGGAGAAGAGGTAAGAGGGGCTTTCCAGAACTGACATAAGGGTTCTGCCCATACTTCAGCTTAACCACTTGCCTACCAGGCACTTATACCCCCTTCCTTACCAGGCCAATTTTCAGCTTTCAGCGCTGCCGCACTTTGACAATTGCACGGTCATGCAACATTGTACCCATATGAAATTTTGATCATTTTTTTCTCACAAATAGAGCTTTCTTTTGGTGGTATTTAATCGCCACTGGGGCGCTTTACTTTTTGCGCTATAAATTAAAAAAAGTGCAAAAAATTTGAAAAAAAAAAAAAAGTTTATTTGTTTCTTTTATAAAATTTTTCAAACAGGTATTTTTTCTCCTTCACTGATTTGCGTTGATGAGGCGGCACTGATGGGCACTGATAGGCGGCACTGATGGGCACTGATAGGCAGCACTAAAGGGCACTGATAGACGGTACTAATGAGGTGGCACGGATAGGCGGCACTGATAGACAGCACTAATTAGGGGTCACGGATAGGCGGCACTGATATGCAGCACTGATAGGCGACACTGATGATGGGCACTGATAGACGGCACTGACTGGCATCACTTCTGGGCACTGACTGGTGGCACTGACTGGCACAACCCCTGGGCACTGACTGGTGGCACTGACTGGCAGCACTGCTGGGCTGCACTGGTGGGTGGCACTGGTGGGTGGGCACAGGTGGGTGGCACTGGTGGGCACAGGTGGGTGGGCACAGGTGGGTGGCACTGCTGGGCACATGTAGGTGGCACTGCAGAGTGGCACAGGTGGGGGCACTGCTGGGCACAGGTGGGGGCACTGCTGGGCACGGGTGGGGGCACTGCTGGGCACGGGTGGGCGGGGCTAGTGGGCGCACTGCTGGGCGGAACTTGCGGGTGTCACTGCTGGGCACCGATCATCAGGGCACTGATCATCAGTGCCCCTGATGATCGGTGCCGATCCCCGCTCTGACAACTGCCGGTTCTCGGCAGTACTTTCCTCACGATCTGACAGCGTGAGGAAAGTGCAGCCGAGAACCGGCACTTGCATTTCCCTGTGATCAGCGTGTCATTGGACACCGCTGATCACGTGGTAAAAGGCCGGTGGGATCGGCCTTTCACCACATCACGTGATCAGCTGTGTCTGTAGGACACAGCGATCACGGAGATCACCGGGTGTGCGCGCCCCCTGGGGGCGCGCAGGAGAGCGCGTTCTGGGAGGACGTCATATGACGTCCACTCAGAACTGGCCGGCCGCGGTGAAGCCGTCATTCGGCTATGCGCGGTCGGCAAGAGGTTAAAGGATAAGTCCACCTTTGGGAACATGTTACATTTCACCCATTTTTAGGGTGGAACGTCAGGGGTGTGGACATTTTTGAAAAAACTACTTGTCCAGGGACTAAATCGATGCCCCATCTACTTGTCCCTCATGACAATCTACTTGTCCTGATAAAAAAAAAAAAATCATTCTAACCAAAACCGTATTTAAATCTGAGGTGCAGTTAGGAATGTCTGGGACTTTAAAAACAGAAGGGGCTCTATGGCGACTTAAACATTACATTTCTTTTAACATTGCGCTGTTTATCTTCTCCCCTCCCTGCCTGTCTCCAGCCTCGCATCCTGGGACTAGCAGGGGGGGAGGGACCTTGCAGTGTAATTAGCACCGATTGGGTGCTCGTCAGGAAAGGGGAGTATCTGGCTTACCCTTTATCCCTTTTGCTGCCAGAGCTGTTTTTGCGTTTTTTTGTTCCCCTTTTAAAAAATTGTTTTGGGCTTGAAGGTTACACAAAACCCCCAAACATGATATATTTTCAGAAATCAGAGACACTAGAGAATAAAATAAAGGTAGCTCCAATTTTTTTTATGTCGCATGATATTACCACAAAGGTCTAGGAAATGTAAAATGTCAGTAAAAAATACACAAAATTAATTTTAGAGCAAAAATAAGCAATAAATTGCCCTATTTTTTGGTAAAATATAAAACATGAGGTTCCATTGAGTAAATAGATATCCAGCATGTCAAACCTTACATTTGCGTGCTCTCGTGCAATGGTGACGAACTCCAGTACCCTGTGTTTTCTATAGGTGATGCTTTTAACCGCCTCCCACCCGCTATATAAGGAAATGACAGGCGCAAGGCTGTTCTCTCGTTCTGGGAGGACGTCATACGACAACTTCCCACTCAAACCACGCATGCACAGCTCCGAGAGCACGCAGCACGGCAATTGGTGGTGCTCTGCGTCCCTTGGACACAGCGGATCACCGATCAATTGAAAGAGCCGAAGATGTCGGCTCGGTCATGTTATCAGCTGTGTCCAATCACAGCTGATCGCATGTAAATTGGGAAATGCCGGTATCAGCATTTCTCTCCTCACCAGCTGTCATGCTGACAGCTCGTGGGGAGAGGGGAGCCAGCAATCGGCATTCCTCAGAGGGAACATCAACACTGATTATCAGGGCACTGATGATCAGAGTAGCCACAGCAGTGCCACCTGCCAGTGTCCATCAATGCCAGCTGTCAGTGCTCATCCATGCCACCTGCCAGTGCCCATCAATGCCAGCTATCAGTGCTCATCCATGCCACCTGCCAGTGTCCATCAATGCCAGCTATCAGTGCTCATCCATGCCACCTGCCAGTGCCCATCAGTGCCACATCAATGCCACATATCGGTGCCCATCAGTGCTGCCAGTCAGTGCCGCATATAAGTGCCATATGAGTGCTGCCTTTCAGTGCCCATCAGTGCCACCTATCAATGCCCATCAGTGCAGCCTATCAGTGCACATCAGTGAAGGAGAAAAATAACTTATTTACAAAATTTTATAACAAAAACTAAGAAAAAACGTTTATTTTCAGTGGTTTTTGGTTTAAGAAAAAATAAACCCAGAGGTGATTAAATACCACCAAAATAAAGCTCTATCTGTCACAAAAAAATGCAAACAATTTCATATGGGTACAGTGTTGCACGACCGCGGAATTATTATTCAAAGTGCAACAGCGCTGAAAGCTGGAAATTGGCCTGGGCAGGAAGGGGGTATAAGTGCCCTGTAGGCTAATGGTTAAAGAACACAGACCCCCCTCCATGTGTTTATGTCCCAGTCCTCATCTCCGTAACCCCTACGTATACACAGGCAGAGAGCACAGGAAGTTATCAGCTCACCAGATTTCTGCAAAAATCAGCAGGTATTTTTTTTTTTGTTGCACTTACAGAACAGATATAACAAAACACTTTCAATGGTATATTTAGCAGACCAAAAGGGGGCATGAGAAGTTCATTGTTAGTGCTACTGTGTTACATGGTTTAGCTGTGTTCTTACTACCCCCCCTTAAGCTGCAAAGGTAGGAGACAGGGATGTACACATGCCATGGCAAGAATTAAACCCCTTGTTGCATTTGGCAGGCAGTACTGCCCCCCCTCAAATGCAACCCATTCAGGTGAACAGGACCACACCACAACTGTGTGCAATGTACAAGGTTGTATTGTGGCCTTTTAGGGGTTAAGACAGGAGGTGACATAATACCTCCTCACCGCCTGTCAAACCCCCCTCTGAAAAGCCAGCTCTTAGTGTTTACCACACTTTAGGCATCCAAGTAATGAAGGGAAGCTTCTATCAAGGCAGTGGCATAATGGATAGGATCTGCTGGTACAGTCCCGCATTGGACAGTGTTTGCATGTAACGCATGTGCTGTAACCCTTGTGTATTTATTTGCAGCACTATTCTGGCTTAGAAGAGGCTGTGTTCAGAAACATCCAGGCTTGTAAGGAACTTGCCCAGACCACTCGCTCTGCATATGGACCCAATGGTAAGTCCATTCCCTGTGGGATTTGGTCAGTATTATATACAGTATGTGAACACAGTAAATTGTCAAACTAAATTCATACTTTAATTCTCTTGACCTCATGATAAGCTATTTCTTTTGAAAAGATTTTAAAGGATTTCTTTTTTTGTTAATAAATAAGCATGCTATACTTACCTGCTGTATCTGAGGTCAGGATTGGTTCTACAGCATGCTAGCATTTTGTGTCTTTTATATGAAGACTTGTATGACTGCTGCTGCTTTTACCTGCAATGGTTTTACACAGAGCACCCCTGTTCCTCCTCTTCTGGGGTCCTCCCTCCTTTTGCGTATCCCCATAGCAAGCCGTTATGGGGGTACTTGTGTAGGCTTCAGGGGCGGACTGACCATTTGGAAACTCGGGCACTGCCCAAGGGTCCGGGGTCAGTAGGGGGCCCCATGAGATGCCCCTGGTACCTTTTTCATAGACTTTTTTGAGTTTGGGCAAGGACACAGGGGCCCCATGATCCCCTATTGCCCGGGGCCCCATGAGTTGTGTGTCTGCCCCTGGTAGGCTTTCTCCAGAGCAACTCTCTGTGTCTCCCCCCTGCCTCCTCCCCCGCTCTCCTTTTATTTTTTTTATTTTTTTTTTTTTAGGATTAAGGTACAAAATATTCTACCTTTTTAGAACCACTTTAATTTAAACTACACTTTTATTAAGATATAACCCATTCTAAAGTAGAACCCTCACTTGATGTGCTTACATACCTTGTCTTTAAAGCCGTGGCCTCCTCTCTTGTTTACCACATTGGTGCCAAAATACTCTCCAGCACTGGCTTCAACTCACAGCAACTCCCCAAAGACTTGATTGGACTGGAGACATACTCTACAGCTACTGTGGATACACTACATCAGCACCCAAGAATGTTTTGGCACTGAGGTTGTGAACACTAAAGGAGCCCCCCACTGTCAGGAAGAGGTAAGTAAACACCTGGTTAGGGGAAGGTTCCAGCTTTAATTTAAAGCTTATACCTTTCTGATGTTTTGTTTTTTTGCTACACCCATATTTAGAGTGTAACATGAAACATGGTTGCATTTTATCATACTTTGTTGTAACCGTTATGTTATCTCTATGTTTCAGGGATGAACAAGATGGTTATCAATCACCTGGAAAAGCTTTTTGTTACTAATGACAGCAGCCACCATCCTTAGAGAGCTGGAGGTTAGTGGAAATCACAAACTTTATACTTTTATTACCAGATATAAAATACAAGTTCTTAATACTGTTGATTTGGTGAGCCCTGAAGTAATGTTGTGGCTATAGATCTTGTTTTCCTTACAACTAGGTGGGATTATCATTAGTCATTCTACGGTAGAGAAGTAGATTTCCACCATGCTTTGAAAATGACTGGGTGACAGGACATGTTGGTATTAGTGATTCTAAAGGTTCATTTTTTTTTTTTTTTTTTTTTTTTTTTGTTACAAACGTGTATTCTTACCTGCTGTGTGCAGTTGTTCTGCACAGAACAGTCTGGATCCTTCTCTTCTCAGGTCCCCCGCAGGCTATCCTGGCTCCTCTTTTCTGTTGGATGCCCCCACAGCAAGCAGCTTGCTATTGGGGCACCTGCTGCTCTGTGTCCATTCAAACCTGGAGCCTTGGCATGGCCCCACCCCCCCTCTCTCCCCTCATTGGCTGACTGGCTGTGATTGATAGCAGTGGGAGCCAATGGCATAGAATGCATGAAGGTAAAAAACCTTCGGCTTTTACAATCACTTTAATAGTTCAGCATTTCGAGGGCTTCAGGCTACTAATGCATGCCAGTATAGAAGCAAGCCTGAATTGTGTTTTCAGTTTATTTTGCTAGTTTAGAATAGTTTAGTTCTGCTTAAAACATATTTGTATTTTTAAGGAGAAGTTTGGGATTACCAAAAAATTATATATGCTCCTCCATGCTGCAGCATCAGTGCGACACTGCAGCTGTCCCACACTAGCTCTAAGACTGAGCACTAAGTAATCCCGTGACCACCAAGGGGGCAGGTTCTGACTTTCAGCCCAATGCCGGAAGGAGGAGCCAACTGTCAATCAAGCAGCCAGATGGATCCTGGTGTTATTGTCAGGATCCATGCGAAGCCTAGTCAGCTGACTCTAGGTCACCGGAGCACAATAGTAAAGCAGATTACCGCTTCCCAGTTCAGCAGTTGTATGATTCTCATTTGCTGCTGTATGACTAGCAGATACCTCCTGACTGTCTGATCTTGTTGAGTGGCCAGGGTGAACCTTGCCAGCCAATCAGTATAACTCCTGCTCACAAATGTTTATTCTCAGTTTAGTTCCACTTTAAGTATTCAGGATGAGCACCATCTTAAATCTATAGAAACTTGAAGTAGGGCAAAGATGTCTCAAAATGTTTGTAATTTTATTTTGCATTGTAGGTTCAGCACCCGGCTGCAAAGATGGTTGTAATGGCCTCGCATATGCAGGAGCAGGAAGTTGGTGATGGCACTAATTTCGTACTGGTGTTTGCTGGTGCGCTGCTTGAGCTGGCAGAGGAGCTTCTCCGGATGGGCCTGTCTGTATCTGAGGTCAGGATCAATTGTTATACAACATGCTAGCATTTTGTGCCTCTTATATGAAGACCTCTACAGGGGTGTGGACATTTTTGAAATTACTACTTGTCCAGGGACTAAATCTGTGTCCCAATCTACTTGCCCCTCATGACAATCTACTTGTCCTGATAAAAAAAATAAATCAATTTTAACCAAAACCCTATTTAAATCTGAGGTGCAGTTAGGAATGTCTGGGACTTTAAAAACAAAAGGGGCTCTATGGCGACTTAAACATTTCAATCTTTTTAACATTGCGCTGTTTATATCCTCCCCTCCCTGCCTGCCTCTAGCCCCACACCCGGGGACTAGCAGGGAGGGCAGAGACCTTGCAGTGTAATGAGCACCGATCAGGTGCTAGTCAGGAAAGGGCTTATCCTTTATCCCGTTTGCTGCCAGAGCCGTTTTTGCACACGTTTAAAAAAAATCATTTTCGGCTTGAAGATTGCACAAAACCCCCAAACATATATTTTCTGCAATCAGAGACCCTAGAGAATAAAATAGAGGTAGTTCCAATTTTTTATGTCGCATGAAATTACTGCAAAGGTCTAGGAAACACAAAATTTCAGTAAACAAATACACAAAATTAATTTTAGGGCACAAAAAAGCTATAAAGTACCCTATTTTTTGGTAAAATATAAAGGATGAGGTTCCACCGAGTAAATAGATATCCATCATGTCAAACCTTAAATTTGCGTGTGCTCGTGAAATGGCGGCAAACTTCAGTACCCTATATTTTTTATAGACGACCCTTTATAAGTCATCAGTTTAGCGTTACAGAGGAGGTCTGGTGCTAGAATTATTGCTCTCATTCTGGCGTGTGCGCCGATATGTTACGTGTATCGTAATCGTCGTTTTTATACGTAGGCACCCCGGCATGTGCTTTTTACTTTTGTACGTACGTATATGTGGGGCTCAAACTTGTTTTTTTTTTGTTTTTTTTTTTTTACTGTTAAAAAAAAAAAATGTTTCTACTTAACTTTTTTTTTCTCACATAGGGGACAAAAAGTCCCTTATGTGATGATTTTTTGGTGACAGGTTCTCTTTAATGAGACATTCAGGGTCTAAAAGACCCTGCATGTCTCCCCTGTGCTCCCCTACATTACATTCTTTTTCCAGGAATCTGTGAATGGGGACCTGGCAGTGATCTCAAACATCGCTTCTAGGTCAGGACAAGAAGGGGAGGGGAACGGACGTGTTCGCTCTCCTCCTTCCCCTCTAGATGCCAGCACACTGAGCCAGTCTGGGGCCCGCATATGGGCAAGCGCGGGGTGGGGGGTGTTCGCTGGCACCATGGGCTGTGTGGAAGCAATCTTCCACCTGGCAGGTGAGCCCTGCTGCTTCCCCATAGCAGGGCTAAAGGTTGAAAAGAGCTACCTGCCCGACACCCAAAACTACATGTCTCAGGCGATACAAATACAACATCCCTGCCTCTATGACATCTGTTAATGCAACATAGACTGTGAATTCTTGTTGCTCAGGAATCTGCATGTTAATCTCGGCACGCGTTTCCTTCATACATTCCTTTTGTACATATAGGTGATTGAAGGCTATGAAAAAGCCTCCAAGAAAGCTTTGGAGATCCTCCCAGATCTGGTATGTAGCTCTGCCAAGAACCTCCGTGATGTTGATGAAGTGGCCTCCCTCTTACAGACCTCGATTATGAGCAAACAGTACGGCAACGAGGGCTTCCTGTCTAAGCTCATAGCACAGGCGTGTGGTAAGATTGAATCTCTTCCTTCATGGTTGAACCAGCTAATGTCATTTAAATTTATTCTCCCTTTCTTGACTTCTCCTTTCTTGTGTGTACAGTTTCTATCCTCCATGAATCTGGAAACTTTAACGTTGATAACATCCGAGTCTGCAAAATCTTGGTAAGTTATTTTCTAACACCTTGTTAGTGTGGAATAATAGCTGAATACAGACATGGATAAATTCATATAGAATTCTGTAGCAGCCAGCTATATAATAGTTACATTTCTTTATTATTGCTTTCAGGCACATCATCTGTTTGGCTTGTCTGCTTCTTTATGTTGTCAACAGGGGTTGCATAATTGTGTTTTTTCTCTGGTTTAATCATTTTTTTTTCTTTAGGGGTCTGGTATCTGTGCATCCTCTGTACTTCATGGTATGGTTTTCAAGAAAGAAACCGAAGGAGATATCACATCAGTTAAGAATGCTAAAATTGCAGTGTACTCCTGCCCCTTTGATAACATGGTCACAGAAACAAAGGTATTTTTTTTTCTTTACTCTGTATTTACCCATGCCTTATAACACTGTTCAACAGGTAAAAAGTTTTGGGCATAAAATTAGCTAATCTTACATAATTTTGGGGTGCTGAAAACGAAAATGACCCTAAAAAATGTTGATTGGCTCTAGTTTCCATGATATATTCACCCATCTAATGACGTAAGCCATTCAAAATTATGATGCAACTTCAGCTGCATATTGCGCAATTGATACTGGTGACCAATAGAAAATTGCATGTATACTGAGATGATGCAATATTAGCCCTTAATTGCATCACTTCACTGCATAAAAGCTGCAGTATCTGTAGCTGATTGTAGTTCGACAGCGTCTTTACATTTCGTTTTATGCTTATATAGGCTACTCAGTAATGCCTCAAACTTGTGTGAATAAAGCAGATAATTTCTGCTATATCTGCGGTGAAATAACTTTTATCTCACAAAAAAGGAGGATAACAGGAATGATTAAGAAAGCCTACAACTTGTATTTTGGCTGCAAGATAGGAGACCAGGACAAGAGCTGGGCACCACATATATGCTGCAATTCTTGTGGGACGGCACTGGAGCAATGGTTGAATGGAAAAAAGGCATCTATGCCTTTCGCTGTGCCAATGATTTGGAGAGAGCCAACAGATCATGTTAGTAATTGTTACTTTTGTATGGTGCCTCCAATTGTAAAAGGGCTAAATAAGAAGAAAAAGTTATCTGTGCACTATCCAAATATTCCATCGGCAATACGTCCAGTTCCTCATGGAGAGGGGCTACCAATTCCTAAAGCACCAGAATCCTTCGTGGTTGAGTCAAGTGAGGAAGAACCTGAAGCGTGTAGTCACGTGCAGTTGTAAGAGATAGCCCTTTCCTCGAATACAAGAGAAAAGCCAAGAGAAGCAAAACCGACACAAACTGAAGACAAAACTAGTGAGAATCCTAAGTATTAAAATGATTCAACTTAGCTTATGGCTATGATTTTTCTTGGTAATCCTATGCAATATATTATGCCATTTAGGCTTTGTTATGTAGTCAATATCACTTGCTTTATATTTGTGGAAAGACATCTATCTATATAATTATTGTGCATTATGTAGTCATTACGCCTATAGTAGAAAACGTTCCATTTTACAGAAAAACTAGAGCCAATTGACAAATTTCATTGTTATATTTGAACTCAGAATGTGAAATTCATTAAGAAATGGATCCTTTTGTTTCCAAAACTGGCAAAAAATAAAAATTTGTTGAACAGTGTAATCAATTCTGTTCAACCAGCAGTAAGCACACTGTACAGGCTAACCTTCCCATTGGCCGTATTCATATATATGGCATTGTAAGTGGGCACTATTTTGTGTCGGGAGCGCACTTAATCAAGTACAGTAAATCCTGGTAGATTTGCCCTGCAAATCCTTGGTGAAAAAAAGGGCAAAGATTTTAATTAAAGGGAACCTCAGTTAAGGCAGTCTAAAATATTCTTGCAAGTAAACCACCTCTGTTATCCTTCATCATTTTAAAACCAACTTGTTAATATGGTCCAGATCTGCAGCTCCTCCCGCCCCCTGCAGATAGGATTAAATTGTCCGCAGGGTGGGAGACACTGGAGAGGACACACAGGCTGAATCCTGCCTCTGCCCTTCCAAAGTTAGGATTGTGCAGGGGAAGCAGTGAGTAAAAAGGGGGGCACTGTGATTGGAGAGAAAAGAGGAGGCATGACTGCAAGGGGCACTGTGATGGGTGGCTGTGATTGCTAGGGCCACTGTAATGTTATGGAGCACTGTGATGTAAATATACTGCACTGTAAAGGGGCACTGTAATCATTACAGTGCGCAGGATAGACTTTGTGAATATTCCATCACCAACCTCCCACGCGAACGCAAAAATTGGCTGCCTATTTTTTGTCCTAGTCCGCGCCCGCCCACCAGAGTCGCAGTACTGCTATGCCCAAGAGGGACACAGAGACAATGCCACGCTGACTCAGGAACCACTGTCAGTGGCTGCTTGCATGTAATTGCAAATGGAGCAGTTACCTGTGATGATCGGCCCTGGGTGATGTTTATATCTCCCCTCGCTTCCTGTTTGGTTACTGCTTGAAATTGAAGGATAAATTCTGCAACAGAAAGTAATAAAAACCTCACAATGGTTCTAACTCACTCCTGCTCTATTCAGATGGAGAAGGATGGGGGAATCCCCCCTTTTAATATAACAGCGCTTGTGATCCCTGGTGACAGTTGGATTTTCTTGCTGTATAATGCATGTCTCCACTGCAGCAAATAATAGTTGGTTTGTTATAGACCCCTTGTAATGTATAGGATTATTTCATTATCCGTAACAGGGAACAGTACTGATAAACAGCGCACAGGAACTGATGAATTTCAGCAAAGGGGAGGAGAACATGATGGAGGAAAATGTAAAGGCAATAGCTCATGCTGGAGCCAATATTGTAGTGACTGGTGGAAAGGTGGCAGACATGGCGCTACACTATGCAAACAAGTACAACCTCATGTTGGTTAGGTAAGACCTGTTGAATTTGATTTAGCTCCAGTTTTTGGTTCCTTCTCTATTTACAAACTTATATTTTCATGATTGTGTAGGTTGAACTCTAAATGGGACCTGAGACGACTGTGTAAAACTGTTTGTGCGACAGCCCTGCCAAGATTAGTAAGTATCAGATTTGTAACGAGAGTTAAAACAATATGGAAATCAACTGTGATATCCTGTTGGATGACATTTGTATTCATTCCTACCTTTTTTATTAGCAACAAATATGTGGATATTCTTTGCCAAGCAGGTATTTGAATGTTAACACTCTGTTCAGCTTAGGTGTCAGCCCCCATTCACACACTGGTGACCTGTCCATGCATTGAGCTGTGATATGAACCGTGTGAGCTGCCATTGTTAGAGCATAGACCACACAGGAAAATGTACCCTGACCTATTGGTGCAGTCTGTGGGCTTGATTATCATGCATTGCCTCATTAGAAAACATTTGCATTTTGATGACAGAAAACTCAGTTGATCATGCGGATAGATGATACAGATCATAAGGGAGGCAATAAAATGATCTAAATGTATAAAGCAGTTAAGGTTTTTTATGTAAGGGCAGAGTATCCCCTCCTGTAAGACAGACCTGCAGCTTTCCAAAGAAGTACAAAGCACTGATAGCTGACTCCAAAGAACCTTTTTTTTTGTCAGGCATATTCTTCCATGACCTGACATTGTTCCATCCTAATGTATTTCTCCAGACGGCACCTACTCCAGAAGAGATGGGACACTGTGACAGTGTGTACTTGTCTGAAGTTGGGGACACACAAGTTGTTGTATTTAAGCATGGTATGTACCTGGAAACAAAGTTTGTTTTGCAGTTCTGTTATATAACACCTATATAGATTCTTGTGTGTTTTTAAAGACAGTCTTTTATATATTGCATATACTTTTGTTTTATTAGAAAAAGAAGATGGTGCTGTTGCAACCATTGTTGTGCGGGGTTCCACTGACAACCTGATGGATGATGTGGAGCGTGCTGTGGATGATGGCGTGAATACCTTCAAAGTGCTCACAAGAGTAAGTACATGCTTTTCATTTTGTATGTGTGTAAAGTTTTATTGCTCCACCTAAATGCTGTGTATAAAAGGAACCCATACGCATCCAAATAATGGGTACTGCTTAGATTGGCATATTTGTTTTCGGTCACTGAGTTTGTAGGTCATCAAGCAAAGCTCAGAGTGATAACCTGTAGGAGCATGCACCCTTATAGCCCCTTCACATTGTGAGTTACTTTAATATATGGCATTACTTTGTGCTAAGGTAGCCTTCAAAATAAATGGTGTACGTGTGTGGCCATAATTTGTAGCAAATGCATGTTTTTCTACAACACATTAAAGTAAACCAAAAATAAAACAAATAAGCTTTCAATTATATGTAATTCATTCAGTGTGTGCATTTTTTTTTTATTTTACCTATATTTGTATTTTGTTGAAAATACCTGTTAATCCTGCCATTGATACACTCTACCTGCCTTGCTGTGTCAACGACATGCAGGCTTATCTAACCTCTTCAGTGTTACCACTATATGGGCATGCTCCAAATCTGTGGAACAAAAAGCTGTCTGTGGCTCACCATACCCTGTGAAGCTCCTGAGACTTTTTACCAGAAGTGCAAAAATTCTACTTCCTGTAGCTTCATGTACAGTTTCTGGCAGTTATTGCCCTGTCTTTAAGTTCCATTAACTTCTTTTTAGCTGTGGTGCATCATGTTGCCTGAAGTTGGTGAGAGTTGCTCCCTTTTGGAATCTTGAATCTTAAAGCGGAGCTCCACCCAGAAGGAGAGGTTCCACTTCAAAGACTGGTTCCCCTCTCCCCGTTTAAGGATTGGCACCTTTAGGGAGCGGGTACCCAAAACAAGTACCCGCTTCCACTTCTGCTGCGATCGGAAGCGGACGTTGTGCTCCACGCACACCCCCCCCCCCTTCCCATAGTCTTCTGGGACACGTGACAGGTCCCAGAAGACTACGGTATGATTCAGAAAACGCAGCGCTAATCATAAAGCTGCTGTCACAGCCGGGTGCCCACACTTAAGATGCCAGCACCGGGAACACTGGACAGCCAGTGAAACTGGCTGTAGGGAGGACACCGCAGGGTTGGGGACAGGTGAATGGCTGGTTTTTAAAAGTCAGCAGCTATAGCTTTTATAGCTGCTGACTTTTTTTTTTGTTTACAGTACGACTGGAACTCTGCTTTAATTGCATTTTTTATTTTTTTTTGCATTACCATTATATTTTAACTGTATTTATTTTAGGATAAGCGACTTCTCCCTGGCGGCGGAGCAACAGAAATTGAGCTGGCAAAACAAATTACGTCGTATGGAGAGGTAATTGTATACATTTTCATATTCATATATATTTTGGTGACAAAAGCAATCCCACCCCCAGGTTCACTTTTAAATAGTGGTGCACCAAAATGAAAATTCTGGTGCCGAAACTGAAAACAAAAATTTAAAATGCACTTGGCCAAAAACCGAAATGCGCAGTTTTAAAAAATAAATATATATTTTTTGGGGAAAAAAATACACTTTTGATTAAAAAAAACAATATATACCTCAATTTTTTTTTTTTTTTTAAATATGAAGGAGGATGTTATGGCGAGTAAATAGATACCCAACATGTCACGCTTTAAAATTGCGCACACTTGTGGAATGGAGTGAAACTGCTGTACTTAATAATCTCCATGGGTGATGCTTTAAAAATTTCTACAGGTTAGCAGTGTAAAGTTACAGGGGAGGTCTAGTAGAAGAATTATTGCTCTTTATCTGACGTTCATGGCAATACCTCATGTGTGTGGTTTGAACACCATTTACATATGTGGGCATTGCCTACGTATGCGTTCACCACTACGTACGAGGAAAGGGGCAGTTTAAACTTTTTTTTTTTTTTTAAATTTTAATTTTATTTTTTTTTTCCCTTTAAAACATTTTTTAATCTCTTTTACTCTTATCACAAGAAATGCATGCATCCCTTGTGATAGAAATAATTAGTGACAGGTCCTCTTTATGGAGAGATATGAGGTCAACAGGACCCTCTCTCCTCTGCAATGTAAATCATTGGATCAAAAAAAAAAAGCATTGATTTAGTGTTTATAAAAAAAAAAATAACTGGAACTGACGGCTCTGGTCCTCCAAGGGCATAGAGATGAGTGGAGGCTGGGAACGTTCTATGGTTTCTCAGGTAAGGCTGAGAACTACCGAGCAGTGGCGAGGGGCGGGGGGTTTTCAGTACTGTATCTGTGTTTTTTTTGTTTTATTTTTTCATATCGGCCAATGGCCGAAAGGGGTGTTTTCGGCCACCGAAATTTCGGTGCATCCCTACTTTTAAATGCTGAGATGAGTTTGAGGTAGTACATTGTGAGACGTTCTGCTTACTGTACATGCAATCTACTAACATAAAAAAAATTCATCCCTAACCTTCCTTAAGACTTAGTTTTTACTAAAGGTAATACTACCTACTCTTGCAGACTTGCCCAGGACTCGACCAATATGCAATTAAGAAGTTTGCAGAGGCACTGGAGTCTATACCAAGAGCTTTGGCTGAGAACTCTGGAGTGAAAGCCAATGAAGTAATCTCCAAGTTGTACGCCACACACCAAGAAGGGAATAAAAACATTGGCTTTGATATAGAGGTAAGTGTATAGAACTGTTGTGTAATTGGGCTCCCTTTAAAGGGGTGCCAAGTCCATAGAGCTCAATTCTAGAAACATACATCCTTTGTAGACCCGATGCACATATACATAGAGCCTAGACACTGTGGGACCTGTGTATTCACTGTCTATTTGATCACTGTCATAGCTTGTATTTGATTTTTGTAACTGATTTTTGCTTCTGGTTTTGCTTCTAACAAGACAATAAAATATTTTATTTGTGATATACAACTTAAAACTGTTTTGTGATCTCCAGGCTGAAAGCGCTGCTGTGAAAGACATGCTGGAGAGTAATGTCTTTGATACGTACCTGGGGAAACATTGGGGAATTAAGTTGGCTACAAACGCAGCTGTCACTGTACTCCGAGTAGACCAAGTAAGTGGTAAAGTAACACTCCAAAGCAAACACATCTATGTCTTTATAGCCACTGTGTACATTTTACATTCCCATAGAACGGTGAAATATGTCCCCCCTTTCAATCTGTGGTTAGTGGCAATGCTGTTAAATAGAGTCACTATACCAAGGAGCAGCAATCTGATTTGTTCCAGGTTCACAGTGATTGCAAGGTACAGAGCTATTCTGATTTCCTCCATGCATTCTGTGTTTGATCTGTGCTGTCTAATGACAGTGTGAACACAGGCTTTGAGAATGCGCCTGGTGCACACACCCACTGTATAAGCAAGGATGTTTACAAACCTCATGTTAGTATAGCAGATTCCTTGTTTGGCCATTTAACTACACTGGCTGGTGGCTGTGTCTAAAGATGCACACTTCTGGGCTTCCGTAGATCACATCATGCTCTGCTCAGGTGTGAATGTAGGCTAAGACATCCCTAAAGCGTACATCTTTTTAAGTTCTCCAGTAAGGGGTATCCCTTAACTCCAAACTTTATACACTGACTGATGGCTAACATGGTACAATACTATTGCTGAAATCATAAATTATATATTGATATTTGTTTCCCACATAATGTGATCTGTAATCTCTCTTCATACTCTTTATTATGATGTTGAGAATGATGATCAGAAGAAACTGATGTCACTGGACTCTTGTGGGCAACATACTGCTTTGTTTTATTTATTTATTTTGTTCATGCTGAATTGTTTAAAACCTTGTAGATTATAATGGCTAAAGCAGCTGGTGGACCAAAAGCCCCAAAGCAGCAAGGACACTGGGATAAAGATGATTGGCAGGATGAACCAGATAAATAGGTGCTATTGTGGTGCAATGCACGGAGTGCACACTGCATGGAAACACTTCACTACTAACCTCCTGGATATCAGTGTGTGTGATAACTGTGTTCTACTAAAACTGCAGTAAAAGGTTCTTAGGATAACACAATGTACAAACTCTCTCAGCCACTGGCTCTGCGATCTGATTGTGTGGTGACTTTAGCATGACTAGATCTCAAAACTGCACAATGTGTCACTTAAAGCACTGCATGACCTTTCCAGAACCTGCTGCAACAGATTCTAACATGGGTATAGAAATGTGCTTTCAAAGTGTGTAACTCTAGCCAAAACCTTTTTTTTTTTTTATTTATTTTTTAACTTTTGACTGGAGTGGAGAAGAGTTGGAACATTTGTCAGATCTTGTGGAGGCAGTTTTCATAATTTCCTTCCCTGGTGACAGCAATGTCACTGGAACAGGAAGTGAGCAAAAACCTACATTGGGGCCACAGATGGCGATATAAACTTATATAAACTTGACGATATAAACAAAGATTCCAGCCTTCTCTGCCCTATCCAGAGATACACTTGTTAAATAAATAAAACCTTTCTAAGAGTAAGCACGTCTTTTATAACAAATCTGTTTTATTTCTCCTGATACAGATTTTTTTGTGCTTTTTTTTGCATAGTGTGCAGGTATGCTAAGCATATTTGAACATTATGGCACGCTTAACTTGTGCTCTTCTCAGGTGACCAGTTGACGCTGTCCTCATTTGGGTCCAGTCTTCAGCCATTTTGATTGACCAATATAGTAGAACTCCGACGCATGCACACAAGTTACTTTATTCGGGCACAGAATGGTTCTGGGACAGTACACTGAGCTACACTTGCACAGCTCTGTTTACACCTACAGAACAACTGCTGACAAGCAAGGAGATTTATCTGTGACAGAAGAGACATACACAATGGAGTAGATTTACTAAAAATGGAGCACTCAGAATCTGGTGCAGCCCTGCATGGTAGCCAATCAGCTTTCTAACTTCAGCTTGTTCAATTATGCTTTGGCAATAAAACCTGGAAGCTGATTGGTTTCTATGCAGAGCTGCACCAGATTTTGCACTCCCCAACTTTAGTAAATAACCCCCAGTGTCTCCTATCAAAACACCTGCCTGTAAGGGTTTTCCAAGGCCTTATTGATATGGTTGTACGTAAGTGTACATCTGTGCTTGGGCCATGATTGCCCACACAGGGATGCACAAGTGTTCCATTTGGGACCTCACAGCTGTCAAGTTGGGATCAGCGGCTGAGTCAATGCAGCTGCTGCTTCCCAATTGACATGAATGAGAGAGAGAGAGAGAGAGGGGGGGGGGGGCCTTAAAAAGAGGCTACTTCTGCTTTTATGTATTAAAGCATTAGGCTTAATTCACAAAGCTTTAACACAAGAATAAGGATATTTATTTTTGCCATGTGACTAATTTTCAAATCTCATTGGACTCCACTATAATCTAAATTAAAAAAAACAATAAAGATCCTTCTGATGGTGTGTGGGCTTGGTTACTTGAGCCTAATGTCTCCCCAACAATATTGATGGCTCTATGGTTTCAAAAGAAACTGCTGTACATGGTAAGTTACCCTGATTCAGTTCTTTTACGATTTAAAATTAGTTGAAATTGCTACAGAATTGCTAGGTTGTGTTGGTTTGTGGTGCTTCTGGCCATGGCCATCTTGAGTAAGAGCAGTTGATTCGTGTAGCATTTACTTCCTAGAATCCATCTGACATTTGCTTGGGTATGATGGCAGGGGGGTGTACTTAGCTGAGAAAGCCCCTCCTCCTGAAGAGTCCTGGAATGTATGATATCATTTGCCTAGGCATGGAAACCAAAAAGTAACTGACAAAATGTAACAAAAAAAAAAGTTCAAAACAAATCGGATATACTTTTCTATCTATATACTAATGATGGCAGCAAAAGGATTAAATATAGTCAATGTTGACTGAGAGAGTGAAGTTCCGCTTCATGTGGATGGTCCCTACATTTTTTGTGGCTATTGGCAACAGAGCAGAAAGTGAAATACTTGAGCAGTTTGAATTTTCTATCAGTATCAGCATAGGCCATGGCTTTTACTAGTTTTATATAAAAGGTTTGGGTGTGCATTGTTCCTTATTATTGTTCACTTTTCAGTGCCAATACAAAAGACTGTACAATTAAAAAATGGGATGGGCATATATAACTTGTTTCATAGAAAATTTTTATTTATGTCTCAGTCCATTGGCAATTTTATTTTATTGATTAACTGTGCTAAAAAAAAAAGCTGCGAAATTAAATTTATTCTTTTGTTTTCTCCCTTTTATTAGATTATTATGGCAAAACCAGCCGGTGGTCCAAAAGCACCAACAGGTAGAAAGGACTGGGACGATGACCAGAATGACTGAACCCTCCATATTTATCTGTGCTTTTCTCTTGGCTTTTATGGACTGTCTTACCAGTGTGTTTCATACTCGGCTGCAGCTGCCCCTTGAGATTTTGTTCACTTAAGTTAAAATACTGTACAATAAAGTCCCGACTTTCAATAAGTGTTTATATGACTTTTCTTGTGTATTTTTTTCCTTTTCTCAGATTTTCACAAACCAATCTGCCTGTAAATTAAACCTTGGTGAGTTTGGCCCCTTTCACACAGGCTTTCCAATCAGGTCAGCTTGTCAGTCTTTCAGTTGGACATGATTAGAAGCTTTATGCAGGTTTGTGGGTAGGCAGATGTAAATGGACTTGTCAGTTTACATGCACCTACCTCTGAGTCCATCCTGGTCTGGGAAAAAAAGGATTCTGTGCTTTTCCATTTTTCCAGACCTAAATGTGACAAACCTGAGGGTAGCCTTATGTAAATGGACACAACCAGCAGCCCATAAGTCCAACAAGGATCCACCACAGGTCTCTGTTAAAATGTGGACAAAAAACGGATCTATTTTTAAATTTTAAATATAAATTTTTATATGTGAACCCTCACCCTGTAAACCACTCATTTCAGTTTCAAATAGAAATGCAAGGCAAAATATTTGTGTTGGATAGATGTGCTTTCGTGCCTAGCATGGTCAGTTTGAAATAGAAGAACGGGTCTGGCAGGACAGAGCGAACAGGATACTTTTTCATGTACAGTGGGTAAAATAGGTATTGAACACATCACCCTTTTTCAAGGTAAATATATTTCTAAACCTATTGACAGAACATTTTCACCACATGGCGATAAAAACCAATGCAATCAATACCTACAAAGAAGCTAAAACAAATAAGTCCAGAAATGAAGTTATGTGTAATAAAATGGAATGACACCAGGAAAAAGTATTGAACACATGAAGAAAGGGAGGTGCAAAAAGGCATGGAAAGCCAAGATACCAGCTGAAATCTATCAGTAATTAGAAAGCAATCCTGTCCCTTGTCAGTGCTGATTAATATCAGCTGGTTCAGTCTCAACTGATGGCCTATAAAAAGGTGTCTCAATAACTAGGTGTCAAAAAAACATCTCATGGGTTACCCCTGGTTCACATATATGCGTGTGTGGGCCGCGTTTTGCATGGGCACGAGAGCCCATTCATTTGAATGGATGCCCGTGACACGAAGGGAAAGAAGTCCCTGCACTTCTCTGGAAAACGCAGCCCGCAAGGGAACCTCGGTTCCCAGTACAGTTGCTTTTTCCAGTGCCTTTAGATTTAATGGCACCCGCCCGCTGGTCCACATTTGTCTGTGCGTATGGTGTGCCTGCACAGATATTCATGCGGATCCACCACCCGCACAGATATGAACCAAGGGTTAAAGCAGAGAGCTCTCTCGAGACCTTTGCAACTTAATTGTTGCAAAACATACTGATGGCATTGGTTACAGAAGGATATCTAAACTTCTGAATGTTCCAATGAGCTCTATTGGGGCCTTATTCCAGGAAGTGGAAAGAACATTATTTCATCATAATTTGGTGCTCCTCACAAGATTTCTGACAGAGGAGTGAATGAATTATCAGAAGAGTTGTCCAAGTGCCAAGGACCACTTGTGGAGAGCTTCAGAAAGACCTGGAATTAGGTACAATTGTTTCAAAGAAAACAATAAGTAGTGCACACAACCTCCATGGCCTGTATGCACCATCAAAACGAAGCTCGATTATACTTTACTGCACAACATTTAGACAAGCATGTGAAACACTGAGAATATAGTCTGGTCAGAGGAGACCAAAATTGAACTCTGGATGCCACTATACACACCATGGTTGGAGGTCAAATGGCACTGTACATCACCCCAAAAACACCATCCCAACAGTGAAGATTGGTAGTGGGAACATCATGATGTGGGGCTGTTTTTCAGCATACGGTGCTGGCAAACATCATATCATTGAAGGAAGGATGAATAGAAAAATTTACCAAGACATTCTTGATAAAAAAATCTGCTGCTGTCTACCAGGATGATGAAGATGAAACGAGGGTGGACATTTCAGCAAGATAATGATCCCAAACACAAAGCTAGGGAAACTCTCAACTGGTTTCAAAGAAAATAAAGCTGCTAGCCAATCACCTGACTTGAATCCAATAGAAAATCTATGGAAAGAACTAAAGATCAGAGTTCATAGAAGAGGCCCATGGAACCTTCAAGATTTGAAGACTATAAAATAATGGGCCAAAATCACACAATGCATGCAACTAGTTTTTTTCATACAGGAGGCATCTTGATGCTGTCATTCCCAACAAAGGAATTTGTACAAAGTATTAAATAATTTTCAGTTAGCGTGTTCAATACTTTTTTCTCTTTGTCCTTCCATTTTTATTATATATAACTTAATTTCTGAATGTATTTGTTTTGGTTTCTTTGTATGTATGGATTGCATGGGTTTGTACCGACATGTCAAAATTTGATGTCAATAGCACCTTTAGAAATGCATTTCACTGATTAAAATAGTGATGTGTTCAATATTTATTTTACCTGCTGTAAATACATTGTACAACAGAAAAATGAAATGTTGGGATAACATACAATAAAATATTAGTATTATAATATTGGATTGTCATGTAAAAGTCAGCTGTGGCCCCTGCCTCTGCCTTTTGAGACCCTGTTTTTTTTTTTTTTTACCACCATCTTATATTAAAGTGTGAGAAAATGAGTGGCAGTAATAATGTGGCTAATGAGCCACAACTGTGAGCTAAGTGTTGGGCTCATGGTTGTGGAGCAGCCCCATTGTTGTGAATGGCTTTCTCTAGATGTATTCTAGACTTAGGATAGACGGCATCAGGGCACTAAAAGTAAATGAGCGGTCTGTTTTTACCACCCCTTGACTGCTCAAAATGAGATATTATTTTGACGGTAGCAAAATGACCTGTCTGAAAGCACTGACCCTTTAAAGGCTAGTAGATGGCTGTGCGTTTTGTGGTTTAGGCATTCCTGACCCTTGCTTTACCCACTCAAGAGCCCTTCATTCTATACATCTGCACTATGTACATTACATGCACCTGATACCCACTCTCTATACATAGGCTTCCCACTGGTAACATCTCAGAAATCTCTATTGGGTGCCCAAGAGGGGGGCCCTGCCAGGTAGGCTGTATGGGGGCCCTTGATCTCCAACAGGACCCCTGCTTGTTGTCTATACTGTTATCACTGTTAAATCTGCTAATTTATACAAAAGGAAGCAAGGAGTTCAAGACTGTGTTGAGCAAGATGACTGTGAAAACCAAAAAAATTAATATTCAAAGTAAAAATTTGCCATAGCCCAAATAAACTTCAATACAATCACTATACTGATTTACTGTATATTAGAGTAGATTTATGCCTCTTCACATAACCTTTAATATACTAATAATTTCCAAAGTGGTTTGCACTAAATACCTGGTGATCCAGCCTTGAAGAAGGTTGCTCAGGCACTTTCTATAGTGGGGTGACAACCATCTCCCATTTGTGCCCCTGTGTTGCATCCAGTCACATGCACCTCTGGTAAAAACTAGTGATGGTCATATCTGATCAATGACCAGGGGTGTGGAAATGTTTGAAAAAACGACTTGTCCAGGACTAAATCAGTGCTCCAATCTACTTGTCCCTCATGATAATCTACTTGTCCAGATAAAAAAAAAAAAAATACATTTGAACCAAAACTATATTTAAATCTGAGGTGCTTTTAGGAATGTCTGGGGCTTTTAAAATCAAAAGGGGCTTAATGGTGACTTAAACGTGAAATAATTTTAACATTGCGCTGTTTATCTCCTCCTCCTCTCCCTGCCTGTCTCCAGCCCCACACCCTGGGACTAGCAGGGAGGGGAGAGACCTTGCAGTGTAATGAGCTCTGATTGGGTACTCATCAGGAAAGGGGAGTGTCTGGCTTATCCTTATCCCTTTCGCTGCCAGAGCCGTTTTGCGTTTTTTGCACACGTTTAAAAAAAATCATTTTAGACTTGAAGATTGCACAAAACTCCCAAGCATGATATATTTTCTGAAAGCAGAGACCCTAGAGAATAAAATAGTGGTAGTTCCAATTTTTTATGTCGCATTATATTACCACACAATTTCAGTAAAAAAATACAAGTTAATGTGGGAGGGCCTCAATTTCTTTTTTGGGGGGGGATTTAATGTTCTTGGGTTTAACTTTGATTTTTTACAATTAAGGAAAAAAAAAACATTTTTTTTCTTAATATTTGTTTTATTAAATAGGGGTCAAAGTCCCCTAGGTGATGATTTTTTGGTGACAGGTTCTCTTTGAGACATCCAGGGGTTTATTTACTAAAGCTGGAGAGTCCAAAATCAGACTCCCTTCTGCATAGAAACCAATCAGCTTCTAACCTCAGCTTGTTCAATGAAGCTTTGGCAATGAAACCTGGAAGCTGATTGGTTTCTATGCAGAAGGGAGTCTGATTTTGGACTCTCCAGCTTTAGTAAATAAACCCCAAAGTGACATTCACTAAATACACTAAAATCACATAGTAAAACATTACTGTATCAAACCATTTCACATACATTTTGTCCCGAGTGCTTTGTCCTGTGCCCTGCCTGCATTTTTACTGTTCTTTCTGCCTGGAAACTGACAAATGTCCATGGTGTCCAAAAAGCGTCCCTTTAGGTCAAAAGAGGTTTTAGACCAGCTAGAGAACAGCGATAGTAAATCAGAACCACTTGCAGAATTGAGTGATAATGATTGGTTTCTATGCAGAAGGGAGTCTGATTTTGGACTCTCCAGCTTTAGTAAATAAACCCCCCAGTGTCTAAAACACCCTGGATGCCTCCCCTGAATGTAATGCAGTGCACACCGCACTGCATTCCATTCTTTCCTGGCCTCGATGGCTGGGAAATCTTTGACCAGGGATCCGGAAGTGACAAGAAGGGGAGGGGAACAGATGTGTCCGTCTCCTCTCTAGCTGATGGCAGTGGGCTGATCCCAGGCCCACAGATGGGCAAGAAGAGCCCAGGAGAC